CAGCGAACTCAAAAGATCTGGATGTGATTATCTTGGCGACTTTGCAACAACGGTAAACAATTTAGAATATCTTCGCTAGCTCTATCATGCGAAAAATGCGATGTGTGCCAAATTTTAGTGTGATCGTTTTGTCGACGCCGTGATTCCAAGATTATTTGTGAAGTTCTTCGATATCTACAAGTCAGAGGCTGTCTGCTCAAAGGTATGTAAAGTTATAGAGTAGAAATAAATTAGCTTTATAAATGGTTAATTTCAGATTTATCCTGAATGCTAGGAAGACAATGCTTGAGAAATTCTGCTTGAACATTTGCAAAGCTCAATAAAAATACGGTTTTTATAATTGCATAACGTGCAGGGGATACATTTTTTACCCACTATGAAATATTATTCGATAAGTGAAGTAGCATGGTAATCGAAATCCTTGATGTCAAAGAAAGCCAAATTGAAAAGGCAAACATGACAATTTTATATTGTCACTTGATAACGCACACCAGGTGCTTACAATAAGGAGATCCAGAAGAACTCCGAAGAAACAATCAACATTCAAAAACAATGTTGTGCAAAACCGCTATAGAACAGAATTAACAGCAATGTTTTGAGAAAAGGAACAAAGCAATATAAGAAACAGCTTGACACTCTGGAAACTCTTCAATTTCAGAAAAACTATGTTGTGAATTTTGTATTAAACAATGTCGTAGTCCGTTTGTCAGTACTTGATACCCGTTCAAGATTAGAAGGTTTGGTTTTTTCGATCAAGCGCTATCCTTCTGCTTGATGTCTTTCGGTCGATGTAATTTCTCCAGTGGAACTAGGCGAGGGAGGAATAGTAGCCACAAGGCGAGTGTGAAGGCAAATTGAGCAATTTCCACTTGCCAAACACCTCGCGGTCCAAAATGTGAATAGACGAGACTAAAATCCCTTGTATGTATAAAATGTTTTTGTTTGCGAGAGAAAAACACTGACTTTAGCAATATAGGTGCTGCCATTCGCGCCACAGATCCAGACATTTGGAAAATGCCTTGCATCGTGCCCTTAATAGAATTTTTACGGAATTCACAACTGAACCAACGAAAATGAACCGTGCCTGTCGTCGAGGGCCGATAACTTTTGAGAAAAGCGTTGAAAGAACAACATTGCTAATTGCGTACGTGACCTCGAATACCAGGCATAGAGAGCCATAGTATACCCATTTATTAACTTTGGGAGTTGTTGAACACCAATCAAACCTGCCAGCATCACATCCACCTTCGGGTGAGTCTGAAATGAAAAGATAGGAAACCATACACTTGGTTCAATGGCCAAAGTTACAATTTCAAAGAGGGTATAGGGAAGACGACTAACATCCCGCAGCCTCTTTCGGCGGCGAAGTTCAAAAATAGTTTGGTGCAGTAGAAGTCACTTCTTAAAAATTTTAGGGAGATGACTTTTCGCTATACAGTCATAACGCAGGGGTTGAGGATGTGCACTGAGCGACTTGAAATTGAATTACAAATCCCATACACTTAAGTTTGTTATCAGAGCCAAACTAGCACTATTAATTAAAATTTTAAGAGGTAAAGATAGATTGTGGCAAATGAGTAGATTCACCTTGCTGATGCGCTGTAACATTTGACTGCCCAAAATCCCATGGATAGGTGATCAGATGAAACGCGATGAAGCCAAGCACACAAGCGATATTCACTGTGCGCTGCTTGAGTCTGAAGCATAAAAAATTGAGGAAAAAACTGCTTGTCGCAAACGCAGGCTTCGCATACCGTTTTCCGATGTCTAGGAACAAAAACGGAAGAAGTATAACTGCTGCTGCTATCCCTTGTATTGCTTGAGACATAGCGTTAATACTGACAGCTTCTGGTGCCGAGAGATCGAACATTAGCATTGAGTAAGGAGAGCCAAGACTGAAACAAAAGGAGAACTTAATGAAAAAGGGTGAGCAAAGACTTTCAATGATGGACTACTGCTTTAGCACGTTCCGGCAAAACTGCTAACTTTAGGGGAAAGTTTACGCAGGCCTCAGCACGAGGTCTCCGTTTGAACCTTATGAGAACGAATACTCGCTTCCTCTGTAACCTGTACAAACGCATGCAATCAGGACAAGCATTGCTACGCCGTATACTTGGAGAGCGCATTCTCTTCATTAAGGAAAAACAATATAGGGCCCTAGCAAGGAAGGGAGAAAGTGCTGTGATCTGATTGTTGCGCTATAAGTTGGATCAAGGGATGCACAAAAAGTGTTTGTTATAAAGCACGCACAATTATGAGAAACAAAAAAGTGTTTGCTAATCGGAGACCTAAGGTATCCCGGGTCTCCGCCGGAGACCTAAATCACAAAAAGGTTCGGCGATTTTTTTATTCTAATAGTATTTCAAAGATTTTTCAAACACTTCTTCTGCTCTTTTTTACGTATCTTTGCGCCAACTTTGGTGGCTGTTCATTGCCTCCGCTTAGAAAATCCGGGTTTATCTAAACTTGAAGCCTTTTGAATTTCCCGAGCAAACGCCCGCGTTGAAACGAACATTGAATCTTTGCTTTAGCTGGATATTGAACGGTTTCAAGGCATGGAATTACTCCGAATTAACATTGAATAAGACGGAAATACTCAGACCGCTGCATGAACCTCCACGCTAGGAAAACGAGAGGAGGGAGGAAGGAGCTTCAAGCTTTTTCCACAACATTCTTGTTTGAAAAAAATAATCATAGTCATAAATAGTCATAATTGAGATTTAACTGCAGGCTCCCCTCCGGATCCAATACAATTTCCGCTTTGCTTTTTTCACAAAAACGAATTTGCCTTCCGGAGACCT